AGCGGCAGTGGGCACTGAAGTCTGGCAGAGCCCAGAGACCACAGAGAAGTCAAGAGCCCAAGTGGAACCACCCGCTCCTGTAGCCACCTACATTGGGGGGGCATCAGAGAGGACATGTGTGGCCGTCTACATGATGGGGGATCTATGTCCATGGGAACCAGGCCTGCAGTGACAGCAGCTTCCTTATTGCCTAAGTTCAGCTTGAAGAGAGCCCCATCCACAGTAAGTGTTCTTCTGGCTCCGGATTGCCTCTTGCTGGTGGCTCCATTGCTCAGGAGTGGGACGCATACCGAGGCGGCCACTACCATAGCCTGACTTAGTACAAAGTAAGCTGAAGATAGCTCTCCTCCAGAAGATAAGTGAAGTGTCAGGGCCACCTGAGACCCTGAGGATCTGAAGGCAGGGAGGAGGATAGGACACGCACACGTGCCAAAGCCAAGTCTCCAGGGAGAAACGTCACTGATTTCCCACATTTGCTCTAGTGTCAGGTTGTCAGGTAGCCTCGTGGACCATCCACACTGTTATTATCCCCAGGGAATGACCTCCTCATCTAGGCATGTCTCCCATAGACAGGTAGGGCCACAGCTCACTTGGCACAGCCTGCCTGGACTCCTGTCCCCCAGGCCCTGCCCTCCTTTGGTTTTCTAGAATGCTTCTGTGGCTGTGCCAGACCCCTGTTGGCTGCTACTGCATTCCCACCAGCATGTGCTGCCATCTTCTTTGCATGCTGTGGAGCTGCCCTCAAATAACTCTGCTACTAGAGTTTGGGCTCCCCAAGCCACCAGCTGCCAAGGAACACAAGCTTTTCTCAAGCTGGAGGTCATCAGCTGCACCCCTCCCCAAGCAAAGAGATTTACTGCCTTCCAGTGAGCCTTGAAAAAGAATGCCCTGGACGAGGGCCTCACTGTCTTACAAGGCAGGTGCTGTATGGATGGAACTGCGTGCTGTAAATCCTAATTCCTATTTCTATGGAGGAGATCTGGTGACGTAGTGCTTCTGCTGTGGGCTGCTAACCACAAGGTCAGCAGTTAGAAACCACCAGCAGCTCTGAGAGAGACAGAGGTGGCTTTCTACTCTCATAAAGAGTTACAGTTTTGGAAACCAACAGGGGTGGTTCTACACTGTCCTGTAAGGCTGCTATGAGTCAGAATTGACTTGATGGCAGTTTGTGTGTGTGTGTGTGTGTGTGTGTGTGTGTGTGTGTACTTATAAATGTAAACCCATGTGGGAATAAACTATTCTTTCATATGTGCATGAGACCATATCAGGATAGGGTGTGTCTTAAATCAATTTTTGCAGGAGATAAAAAGAGCAGATTAAGCACAGTAGCAAGAAAGCAAACCAACCATATCAAACTCACTGTCGGCAAGTCAATGCCGACTCAGATTGACCCTACAGTCAAGGTGACCAGATTTTAACATTGGTAAAGCGGTCACCAGCGGGACACCATTGATAAAACTCATATCCTGGTGAAATAGCCACATGGCAGCCGAAAACCATATATCCTAGCTTGTCGTGCATTCTTTCCAAAAATCGGGACTTTTTAAAAATGCCGCAGGACGCAGGAAAAAATGTTAAAAATCGGGACTGTCCCCCCAAAGGCGGGACGTCTGGTCACCTTACCTATAGTCCTACTACTAGCAAGAAAGCCCAGAAGTAGGAAGCGCAATGCCAGATGGAGACTATCAAGAAGCAAGGGAAACGAAGCTGAGGGAAACTTAGATTTCCCTCCAGAGCAGAGATCTGAGGAGCTCATGAGTCAAGCCTCTCAAGCTATGAGAAAAGACTTTTGCTGTTCATTCAAGCCTCCCGTTAGGGGTGCTTCTGTTACTGCAGCACTAAGGCACTAGGACACCCGGGTTGTCATGTGGCTCATCCCTCTCCTTTGTGTTTCGCTCATTCTTCATTTTCTTCCTTTGCGTCCACCCATCTGCCCTTGTTCCATGAGGGAGAAAAAGCTTGACGCGTTTCTTCTTTAGACATCAGAAAGATAGCATCCAGTTTCTTTGCAGTCCTTACTCAGAGATCTCATGTGCAGCATGGCTTCTAGAACATTCTCTGACTCAATTCACTGTCATCGAGTTGATGCTGATTCATAGCAACCCTATAGGACAGGATAGAACTGCCTTTGTGAGTTTCTGAGACTGTTACTGTTGATGGGAGTAGAAAGCCCCATCTTTCTCCTGAGCAGAGGCTGGTGGTTTAGAACTGAAGACCTTTTGATTCAGAGCCCAATGCATAACTACTACACCACCAGGGCTCCTGGACATTCTCTAGTATGGAATTGGATGGCACAGCCCAGCTGTGTTCTGACCCATACAGAAACATGGACTGATGTTGCCTTTGAACCCAAGATTAGCCAAAACCTTCCTTTCATTCACTTTGGTCCAGTGGAACTTTCTGAAACATCGTGTACCTTTTCCTAGTCCTGTGGGTACAGACCTAGACAGGTAGCCTGAGGGCTGTGCTAAGGGCGAGTAGTATTCCTGTATAGGAAACAGCAGGGCAGAACCAGAAAGCTGCACGGAGGTAAGGTACCGACTGTGCTGGGAGAGCCAGGAAGAAGAGGGAGACCCCCAAGGATCTAGAGAGACCTGGAGGGGAGGTTGCCAGGCCAAGGAATGAACCCATACAAAGGGACAAGTGAGAAGCACAAGCAAGAAGCTGTAGGGAGAGGGAAGGGCCCAGCCCTCTGCTGTCTAATCCTGAGTTCTGCATCAGTTCATCCGGCTTTAAGAAGTCGTCCAGCCCCAGAGAATATAATGCCAACCCCCTCCGCCATTCCACAAGAGGAAACCACTCCTGACTAATGTCCCAGCTCTCCAAGAACTGGACATTTTGGAAAGAACAGTGTGTGTGTGTGTGTGTGTGTGTGTGTGTGCTGAAATGTGCAATAAGAGAATCCAGATCACAAGGGGAACCAGAGCCCGTGAGCTGCGCACCCGGCACTGTCACTTAAAAACCATCTCTCGGGGCCACCTCTGACTTAGAGTAGAACTGTGTTCCACAGGCTTCTCTTTCCTTTCTTGAACTTTTTCTGGATTCTTGTAAAGACATTGGGTGTAGTGTGTCACCGGGGTGCCATCTGATCTCCCCCTCCATAATGCATCCAATGACGGCTCTTAGTCTGGAAACGCTGCTGAGACCTGTTGAGCATCACAGCAACACACAAGCCTCTGTGACAGGTGGGTGGCCGCAGTGCGCGTGGTGCATTGTCTGGGAACCCAGGTCTCTGGCATGGGTGGTGAGAATTCCTCGCATGGGTGGTAAGAATTCCACTGCTGAGCTACCACTGCCACAAGCCAGTTGCCAACCAGTTGGCTCTGACTCATGGCAGCCCTACAAGTGACAGAGTGGGAATTGGGCTGCATTCAGTTTGCAGTGAAAAGTTCCCTGGAAGTCTATTGGCACGCCTTCCTTCCCAGGTGCCTCTGGATAGACTTCCAATTAATAGCCAAGAGCACTAATGGCACCACCAAGGGCACTCAATTCATGAGGAATAATGAGACATCTCTGGGTGCTAGAAATTAAGAGGGGCTGGATGAAGAGCTGAGCCCGGGGAAGGCGGGCAGAGGGTGGTATTCCCAGTCTGATAAGAGGCTTGGATTTAACCAGCCCTGGGAATGGACTGGAGCTAGTTGTCGAGTCACAAAGCTGCCAGGAGAATCATTGCATCGGCATGGAAGGAAGCCCCCAGTCCAAACTCACAGCAATGATCAAAACTTGACCTTGACCAAGAGCATCGTGAAGTGGGTTTTAGCAGCTAAAGTTAGACCAGAATGTAACACCTTTTCATTAGATAGCTCTTTTGACCCATCTTGAATTTATTCTGGTTTTTAAATCTTTTCTGCTTGCTTGTCCAGTGAGGTTTTTCTCTGGTTTGTTTGGTCAGTGTTGCCAGGTCCTTTTCAGTTGTCTTTGCCCTGTATTTCTGTACAGGGAAGTCAGGATGGGTGGGTCTCTAAAGACAGCAACCGGATTAATAATTACCTGGGGACACAGAAGGGAGTCAGCAGCAATGCATACAGGAAGGAAGAAAACGTTCCAATGTTGATTTTGGTGATAGATGTACAACCCTTCTTAATATGATTTATATCTCAATAAAACTACTTAAAACACAGACAAGCTTGGTGTAGAGAACATTCTGCCTCCCTTGGATTCTCTGCCGTATATGCCTCATGTGCCTGCAGATCCGAAGACGTCAGCTTTCCCATTAAGTAGCTTGCATGTAGCCCTACATTTGATCATCTCCTATGATTGCCTGGTTTCCTCCTACAGATGAGGTGGCTGAAAAGACCCTGGCTTGAGTCAGGTGCACCTTCATTACCAACTGTGATGTCTTGGCTTTGTAGAACCTGAAAGCAGTCTTTTGCAGCAGGCTTACCTTCCATGCGACATGTTTGTTTGTTTGTTTGTTTGTTTGTTTGTTTGTTTGTTTCCCTCTTTCTTCCTCCCCAGCAGGCCTCGGAGCAAATCTAGAACTGCACATTCTCAGATCACCCTACAATGACCCTTCAAGGGTAAAGTTCATAAACCAAGAACGGTTCACTCCACTGCCTTTTCCAACCCGAGCCCACCTTTGAGAAACCCTCTCTCTTCCTTTATACATTAGTCAGGCCGGGGGAATCTATTAGGAGTTCAAATTTCTGGAATTCAAGGAAGTTAACACACAAAGAGAGAGAGAGAGAGAGAGAGACCCTTAGGCCAGTTTAACAATGGAGTCTGGGAGCCTCTACCCAGAAACTCAGGCACCCGCCCCAAGCCACCCACAGCTGGAGCTAGAGGAGACAGAGCCTCGTCATAATCCCTAGGGTGCCAACTAACCACAGAGGCCCCTGCTAGGCCAAAGCCCACTCACATATTGATTTCTTGACCGCTGCCCCCAGGGGCATTGATTTCGGATCCAAGTCGAGTGAAATCCTGGACAACTTCTGTTTCTTTACTGCGCCTCTTGGTGTTTGCTCAAAAAGTTGTAAGCACTTCCTTTCTCTTTGATTCAGATTTACCCCATACTGGAGGCTATGAAGAAATGTTGTTCTTTGTCCGCGAGGGCTTCAAGACCTCTTGGCTTTCAGCAAACAAGGCTGTATCATCTGCTTATCACAGGTTATTGGTGATACTTCCTCCCGTCCTGATGCCTGTGTATTTCTATTACATTTGCTCATTTTACCCTCTCCCCCTGGAAATGACAGCTCCAAGAATAACCCTCTCTTCAGAGCTATCTGCTGGCCGGAGGATGTGTGTTGGCCTGGAAGCCTGGGGTGTGAATCAGGAGTACACAGGGTGGGGGGTGTCTAGTGGCATTTGTCACCAGGCAAAGCCACAGTCAAAGTTTTGCTGTTTGTCTCCAGGCAGTTTGAAGGCATTGTTCCTTTTATTCGCCTCCCTGTGTGCCTGGTATTCTGGGTACCTGCTGGCCGAGCTGATCCCTGAGGTGCCGCTGTCCAACACTGTGTACAGTATCTGGAGCTTTGGTGAGAAGCCCATCCTCAGAGGTAGGTCAATAGCATGTTTGTCCTATGGACAGCCTTGCAGCATTACTGTAAGGGTCTCCTCTCCACTCTACCGTGACTGGCCTTTGATTTTTATGTTAATGGAGAAGAGGAGAGTGAGGAAGAGGATGTAAGTGCTGTACAGATGCTCACTTATTTAGTTCCCACACCATCCTCAGCTGGGTACCACTAATCATCCCAGTTATGGATGGCGATGCAGGCCTCAGGCTGCTTACCTCCTCCACTCAGACCTTAACTGCTTGGCCTGTGAAATCTTCAAAGGAGCGTAGAAGCTAAAGTCTGCTGATATCATCGTTAGGCACCATCAGGTGAGTTCCAATTCATCTCAACCCCATGTACAATGGAACGAAACACTGCCTGGTCCTGCACCATCGTCACAATTGCTTTGTTTGAGCCCATTGCTGCAGCCACTGTGTCAATCCATTTCACTGCTGGTCTTCCCGTTTCCCCTCCTTTACCACACATAGCTTTCTCCAGGGACAAGCCCCTCCTGAATCCACGTTGAAAGGCCTCAACATCCTTGCTCCCGTTGAGCACTCTGGCTGGACTTCCTCTAAGACAGTTGTTTGTTTGTTCTCCTGGTAGTCCATGGTACTTTCAATATTCCTAGCTAAAGTCTAGCAAGGGTTCTAAAGCCAGATTTACCAGGCATCAGCAGAATCTCTGGGTGTGGTAAACAGTTAACTCATTTGGCTGCCAAACAAAAAGTTGAAGTTTGAATTTGCCCAGAGTTGCCTTGGAATAAAAGTCCAATGATCTACTTCCAACCACCACCCCGCCCCCGCCAAAACACATAGCTACTGAAAACCCCGTAGAATTCAGTTCTACTCTAGCACTTCCAGGATTGCCAAGAGTCGGGAGTAACTTGACAGCTTTTGATTTGTTCGTCTTTGGAGCCAAAAGCAAACAATTTCGTAGGTTTAAAAGAGAGCTAATGTGAAGAAGGAACTTTATATTGAGTCAGAACTGCTTAAATTTATTCCTAAAACATCAATTTAGCAAAATGTCACACTATTGGCACGATGTCTGTTGTTGGGTCGTTAGCCACTGCTGAGCCAGCTCTGACTCTTGGTAGCTTTATGTATAACAGAATGAAAGATTGCCCACGTCCTGTACCATATTTGAGACTATCCACATGTTTGAGTTCCGTCTGATAATATTCTGTTCCTAACCACAGGGTTTTCATGGATAATATTCAGAAATAGATCACCAGGCCTTTCTTCCTAGTCTCTCATAGTCTAGAAGCTCCACTGACACCTCTCTACCATGGGTGAGACCCTGCTGGTATTTGCAATACCCATGGCATACCTTTTAGAACAATAGTATCATGCAAACCCTCCCCCACCACCGGTACAACTAGCGGACAGATGAGGACTATACACCCACTCCTCACTTACCTATATTGTCAGCTGACATTTCACACTTATTACAATAGTAAAAATTTGGTTTGACTATTTTGCACGGTAATGGTGTACATCTGGCAGTGATGAACACCAAGGTGCTAGGCTAGAGTAACACTGGCTGGGAAGGTTTTGGGTCAACTTGGCTGTGCCGTGATTGCTAGTTTGGCTCTTATGCAGTGATGTGTGTTAGGCTGGGTTGTCTACAGAAGCAAAAACACTCATATGTATAAGAAAGAACTTTATATCAAGAAGCCAGTCAAAGTCAAGCTCATGAGCCCAGTGCTAGCAGCAGCCCTCTCCAGACTCATGTAGCTGTAGACCGGTGAAACGGAGAGGTGCACCTGGAAGCAGGGAGATCCCAGGCCAGTGGGGGCAGATTCTGGATCCAAGGTGAGTGGGAACGTGGCAGGGCACGGACAACTCCCAGGGTTGGTGGCTAATGCAGGGCTGCCCCTGCAGGCAGACACAAAATCCAAGCAAGCAGGATGAAGGGCAAGAGAGTAATTCTGATTGTCTCTCGTATAAAAAGGCCACAACCTGAAGGAGGCATCACCAGGCTACCAGCTGATTGATAGGCTGGACACCACCCTTTCTTCCATACAAGCACCAACAAGTTGGCATAATATCTCATCCAGTGGTTCTCACTTCCCTAATGCCGCGAATCTTTAATACAGTTCCTTATGTTGTAGTGACCCCCCCCAATCATAAAATTTTCATTGCTACTTTATAACTGTGATTTTGCTACTGTTATGAATCAGGTGAGCCCTGTGAAAGGGTTGTTCGACCCCCAAAAGGGTCGCGACCCACAGATTGAGAACTGCTGATCTAACCACTACATGATGCAATTTGGCAGTTCTATAACGATGCAGTCATGCACCATTTTGTGGTCTGGTGAGGTCATCCATTTTCACATAATAGCTTATTTTCACAAAATGACCCAGTTTGGGGAACCTAACCATGACGGGGAGGAGTGACTGTATAATTTTATCTATTTTCCACCCAATTACTGGGTGCCCGATAAGGACTATACACCATTCTAGGTGCTGAGTGATGATACATATGGAATAAAACATATAAGATCACTGCCCTATTTGGTGCTTATATCATCCCTGGGGGAAATGATCATTTTACAAATGAACAGGTAAATATCCTGAATCAGGTTATTAATGAAGAAAAATCAATCAGAGCCATTTTTGAGATGGCGGCCCAGAAGACCCCATTGTAGGTCCCCCAGAGAGAGGGGCAATTGAGAAGGGTCAAAAATAAAGCCAGGCTGTGAGTCTAGCACACTTTTATAAGTTTGATTTAAAACCTCAAAGACTTGATGCTATTGAATTGATTCTGACTCATGGGAACCACAGTATAGAAATGCCACAGTGGGTTTTCTTGGCATCATAGGGTGGGTTCAAACCATCAATCTTTCGATTAGCATGAATTATAAATCACTTGTACTACCCAGGCACCTTCTTGTGTAAAATCAAAAATAGAAAAACCAAACACCAAACCCACCATTGTTGAGCCAGTTCTGAATCATAGCAACCTTCTGTAGGGTTTCCAAGGCTGTGAATCTCAGTGTGGCTGATGGGTCTGAACCTTCAACCTTGCGGTTAACAGTCCAACACTTACCCAGCACCACCACCAGAGCTCCTTGGTGGAAAACCAGGGCTTGTAATTGGCGTGGCCAGTAACAGATCTGGCCTGCAGACAAGCTGTGTTTAAAAATAAGGTGTGACCTGTTGTCAGGTGCTATCTGTTGAGTTCGAACTCACGGTGACCTTACGTACAACAGAACGAAACATTGCTCAGTCACTTGCCATCCTCATGATTGTTAGGTTTGAGCTCATGTCTGAGCTAGTATTTTAACAACTTGGATTCCACATAAAATGGAATTGGCAGGTCTTAAATCATCAGAATCTCCAGCCCCCAGGCCTTGTCAACCGGGACGTAAACGTCAGCTGCAGCGAGCAGGCAAACTGCCCAAGAGCCTGTGTCCTCCCTGGGAGCCACAATCTAGACCACAATCAAAGGCATGTGTGTGGGTAACTGTGGTTTAAAGTCATCGGCATATGAGAAGATCAGGAAAAGCCAAGACCCTTGGCTTGGGCTTGGGTTCAGTTTACTCTACCTGTAATAATTTTAGAGCCTCATAGGGGAGAACTCAAAACCAAAGAGTAGTTTGCCGACCTCCTAACCAAAAAGGTAGGTTTGAGTCCACTCAGAGGTACCTTGAACAAAAAGGCCTAGTAATTCCCTTCTGAACGGCCCAGCTGCTGCACATAGTCTGGACATGCCTCCACCCTCCAACCTTCTGACACCATTCTGTACCCTATTCTGACACCAGCCCTCCCTCCCACAGCACTCTCATGCTCAGTTGGGCTCAATCACCTGTGACAATGCCGTACAGAACTCACAGACAGTGCTCACGATTGAGGGGGGTTGCCTATTCCTGCTTCTGAGATTGCCCATTTGATACCTAGCAGAATAGCAAAACTGACCAATCCCTTATTTGCATATCCCCACCTAGTCCTTTGGTGGGAGTTATAAAGACTAGGGATAGAAGAGCCAGTAACCCATTGCACTGCCAGCCACCACTGCGGACCGGCATATGGCTGTTTGGGGTTCTGATAAGCTCAGAGTGGAGGCAGTTGATTCCCACTCATACCAACCCGATGCATGAGGAGGCTTCAAGGGGTTCGTGGAAAAGTGGGATGAAACGATAATGGGGTGTTGCCACATACTTTTTTGGAACCCCTTGTATATCAGAATTGTTCCACATGGTTCTTAATAGTCGATTTGTTGGAAGTTGATACCCACCTGTCTCTTCTGAGACACCTCTGGAATACTTAAGCCTTCTACCTTTCTGTCAACATCCAAATTCAGTAATAGCTTGCCCCACCCAGGACGGTGCAATCAACATTGACTGTGGGTGGGAGGTGGAGGGGGATCTTACTCTTTTCTCCTGCAGGATGTCTTTGATTCTCTCCTGGAGAATGCTTTCTTTAATTGTCCGAAACTCTCGTAGTCCATGCACAACAAGCAGCCCCAGATTTGATCAGAATCAGAAGCATAAAATGCCGTGCATTGAGACATAACATCAGAACCAAGTGCTGAGAGAAACAGGCCACAGAAAGTTGTTTCCTCTGCATAATTATCAGCAAGCTCAGGAATAAACAGAAAAATCCTGCTGCTGAAAATAGACTAAACACTCAGACTCTCGGACCCCTCAGACGAATGGTCATTCACTGAAAACGACTTACTGAATTCCTCCTCCAGAGAGCAGGCCCCTGTGTGTTCTTGGAGCTTGCTTGGCTAGGAGGTGGCTTTGGGGTCAGTCACTGAGAAAATGTCCAGGTGCCGGTGGACAAGAGCAGTTCCAGGTGCTGCCGCAGGTGCTGTATGGCAGCCTTTGAGGAGTAGATGGGATAGGGCAGTTAGGATAAATGGAAAGGAGTGATATGAGCAAGCAACTGAGAAAATGCAGTCCTTGGCGATATTCAGGGATTTCAATGGCATATCTACTTTTCACCAGCCGCTCTGGGGAGAAGGATGCGGCTTTCTACTCCTGTAAAGCGTTGCAGT